CATGCACTTTTTGTCCGTAATAGTGTACAGGTAAATCAATGTTTTTGAACGCCCGTGGTTTATTAGATTTCCCAAAGACCATCATCTTAAGCGCGTGTGTGCCCGCAGCGTTAGCACATGGTAGTATGGTTACACGCTCTTTACTTACTTTTCGTCCAGGTACGCATTTCTCGTTAAAAGAAACGAAAGTTTTGTTAGGCATCACACGCCAAAAAAGCCCTGATTCATCTGCATTGTACACCTGTGACGGGTCAAGATTTAAATCGTTCACCTTGTGCAAAAATCTTAATTTAAAGGGCTCTATGTAGGTGGCACGTTAGAAAGTTTCTCTTCTGTAATAGTCATTAAACGTATGCCATAACGACTTTTAAAACGTTCTAGCCATCCTTTGCTGGCCACAAAATCATCTTTCTTTGTAATTTCCTTATAAAAAAACTTAGCTTTCATGGCCAACATGGGTCATGAAATTGGTGCATGCCTATTTCTTTCCTGAAGAAACCACATGTACAAAGCTTCTTCCACTTCGGGATGTTCAGCTTTCTTGAGTGTCTGTCTCTTGCCTGGCCCGCAGTCAGTAGTTGACACGAACTTCTTAATCTTCTCGTGGTTTCTTTTAATGTCATAAATTGTAAATCGGCCTACGCCGTATTCACTTGCTAAACTACTGAAAGTTTCATTACGATTTAAGCGGTCTAAAATATCACATTTTTCTTTAATTGTCAATGTTTTGTGCTTTCGCTTCGGTGTTTGTGATGACATTACTAGGTACTATACTTAATACACAATGAATAAATAGTAAACAATGAACGCACGCTAAGCCGTACCGCTATCACCAGTAGTCAAATTCAAACTAAGTAAAACAATGCTTACGCGTCGAGCACGATAGCGGTGGCGCGTACAAGTTGTAACCTGTTCAAACCTGCGTGATCTACAAGAGCGAAGATTGTCAAATAAGTATGTATGTAATACATATTCAAAGACATGTCGGATTACAGGGGGCACCGGATTAGACAGGGGCCGGATTATCGGGGGTCCACTGTATAAGCAAAATCATAATATGTAATTTTGAAAAAGAGTACCCTGTTGGTAGTGCTATCAGAGAAGATTTCTTAAAGAAAAAGAAACGAAAACTATTTAACCAACAGAATATTTTCGTTAAAAGGCACGACGACCTTGAATCCATGGTCAAAACAGCTTACGAGATTTCTTTGCTGTTAGCCAAAAAGAAGAAATCGTTTTCCGATGGAGAGATTGTTAAAGAGGCTTTGATGATCTTTGCACAAAATTGTGACGATAAAAACGTCAAAACTATTTCACTCTCACGGCACACCGTCACGAGACGGGTGGTGCAAATGGCAGATGACATCAATGAGCAGATTCAAGAAATCGTAGCTAATTGCAAATACGTCTCATTGGCGTTAGATGAAACTTGCGATTTAACAAGTAGATCTCAGTTGGCTATTTTTGTGCGGTGTATTGACGAAAATTGGAATGTATTGCAAGATTTACTAGAAGTCGGTGAGCTGGAAAGTACAACCCAAGGAAAAGACATATTTTTGAAAATTAAGGAATGTATTGAAAAAAAGGCTTTATCATGGGACAAATTGATATCTATTTGCACTGATGGTGCACGGGCAATGATTGGAAAAAACAATGGTTGCGTAGGTTTGTTACAGAATTTCTTAGGTCGAAATTTATTTTCGAATCATTGCATTATTCACCAGGAAGCCTTGTGTGCAAAGGATATGGAGTTGGATAATACTCGTATTATGGATCCAGTAGTACCTTGCATAAATTACATACGTGCAAAGGCTCTTAACAGACGTCAATTCAGACTATTATTTGAAGAAGAAATCAGGGAATATGCAGAGTTACAACTGTAATGTGCTGTGCGATGGCTTTCAAGGGGCAGCATGTTGAAACATTTCTTTAACTTGAGAGAACCGGTGTTGCAATTTTTAGAGCAGAAAGGGGTTTTACCATTGGAAATTGATTTACTGAAGGATACATCCTGGTTGAGTGATCTCGCATTTCTTGTTGACATTACGAATTACCTCAATATTTTGAATCTCAAATTACAAGGTAAAGATTGTTCACTTCCGACTATGTTTACTTGATAAGCGGATTCAAAGCAAAATTAAATCTCGTTTCAATTAATTTGGCTACAGAAAATATTGACCTTTTCCCCACACTAAAACATTTGAAAGAGGAGCTCGATATTGCTACTGTTAACTATTCTAAATACCAATCTTTAATTCGATGCTTATTGCAGTCGTTTGAGAGGAGATTTCAAGACTTTGAAAGCAAAAAACAAAATGTATACATTTTTATAAACGCTTTCATAATAAGTATGGCTGAAATAACTGGTTATCCTATCAATATTCAGTTGGAACTCGTTGTACTGCAAAATCATGATTCGTTAAAAATATGTTTGCCAACAAATTTTCTTCGAAAGCACAAAATTCTTCAGAAGATTTTTCAGATTTTTGGAAATTGGTGCCAAAATCAGAATTTCCAGCAATAACTGACCTGGTGTTACAGTTTTTAAGTAGTTTTGGAAAAGGTTTTTTCAGACCTTAATTATGTAAAAAATAAATACCGCACATCCTTAACTGAGCAACATATTTGTGACTTGTTGTTACTCTCAACATCGGATTTGTCGCCTAACATAAATAAATTATTAAAAGACAAACAATGGCAGAAATCACATTGATTGTAACAACGACTTACCCTAGATTTAGATTTGAGAAGATACATAAATAAGTTCAATTTTCTTTCTTTATTTAGCATAAAATACTCTCAGTTTGTTCATAATACTCGTATTATCTAATAAAGTTTATACTAAACTAAATAATTTTATTTTATTTCCTAATATTGGGTTTTTATTGCGCATGTCCTGAGAGTAACCGAAATAGGAATTTTCAGTGGCCCGTCGTGAAGTCTGAATCCACCGTTTGGCCCGACTGTTAAAAAGGTTGAGCAGCCCTGCTCTCGCTTTTTTTGCGTTGTTTCCAGATATGCTGCGACTCCGGCACTTCCGCAGAAAACTTAAAATTCATTCATGCCGAGCCCGTCCCAAAAAAAGGATCTAAGACCGACCCTGACTTTTTATATTTTTCTGATAACTATACTAAGTGACATATAAATCCGAACACCAAGTTTAAATGGTTCTATTTTAATAAAATTTTGTATAAGTACTTAATGAAGCATAATAAGTAAATGATAAAAATTTCAAAATGATTGCACTGCTTTAAAGCCCTTTGACCTATAATAATGTGTGGATGCACCCTGATGTGCTACGCATTCTCCAACGCGCCTAGGCATGCTTCTGATCAGGTGGTCAATGTCCTCCTGTGGTATCTCATTCCAGGCAACCACCAACTCCTCTCGAAGTGCTTCTAGAGTCTGAGGAGGACGTTGCAAATTGAGCAATCTCCTACTCATCATATCCCACACGTGCTCAATTGGGGATAATTCGGGAGATCTTGGTGGCCATGGTAACAATGTGACATCATTATGTTGAAAGAAGTCTATTGTGACTCTTGCAACATGTGGTCGGGCATTATCTTGTTGGAAAGTTGGATCTGCCAGGGTGTCAAGATAGGGTAAAAGATGGGGTTCTAGAACTGCGTGGATAGAACGCTGCGCGTTCATGTTACCTCTGATGAAGATTAAAGGTGACCTGGAACCATAAGCTATAGCACCCCAAACCATAACTCCAACAGTGTGATGAACATGTCTTTCAACAAAAAACTGTGAATTCCTCCTTTCACCACTTCGCCTTCTAACCCTGGCACCACCATCGTGCATGCCTAAACAAAATCGAGACTCGTCACTAAAGTCAATACTGTTCCATTCCTGATCCCAGAGTGACCGTTGTCTGCACCACTCAAGGCGATTACGTCGGTGTTCTCGAGTTAAAGAGAGGACCCAGTGTGGCCGGTATGAAAACAAGCCAAAACTTCTCATTCATCGGTAAACACTTCGCATGCCAATAGGTCTTCCGTGTTCTGCAAACCATTCATTTGCAATGGACCTGGTAGTGGAGAAACGGTCCCTTAAGGCCAATAATCTTAGGCGGCGATCTTCACGGTCTGTTGTTCTACGGCGGCGTCCAGTGCCCCTTGCTCTTTGTGTACGGCCTTCTCGAAGCCATGCCTGACAACACCTAACCACAGTGTCTACACTTCTTTGCACTCTAACTGCAATTGCCCGAAAAGAAAGTCCAGCTTCCCGAAGTCCCACTATACGGCCCCTATCAAACTCACTAAGTTGACGAAATCGTACAGGTCTCCGTACTCTAGGCATCGTAACCGATCGTAAAGGATGTCAAGAACCAAAATCCGCCAACGTTGATTCTTTACTGCGGCTGAAATATTCATTTTTAGAGCGTTAGTGAATTAAAAAAAAAGCAGTATAAAAACCGGAATGTCCAGCTGATAAGGCTGAAAATTTTTTCACTTGTTATTTACAGTAAGATAAATACATTCACCAACTTTTATTAAAATAAAACCATTTAAACTGGCTTTCGGATTTATATGTCACTTAGTATATTAGCACTTGGCATATGCTCCGTTTCTGGGACACCATGTATACAAAAAATATCCCTTTGACATCAAGAGAACATTTTATTCATTTATCGATACGCTACGATATTAATGGCTATTTATATCCAGAATGATGCAAAAGTTACCAGATCACAGTAAAAGTGATAAATAAGGTCAATTCACGGGGGGTAATATTTATAGTATTCTTTCGAACAAAATAGTGCGATGGTTGAGTTGTGATAAATATTTTTCCAATGTTGAGGTCAAATAACAGAAGCTATAATAGTGATACTGGCTATAATACAGTATAATTTTTGACAATCAGCTTTTTAAATATGATTTACATTTAAGTTGTTTTTTATTGTGCAAAATAAGGAATAAAATAGATGGGTAGAATATGACGCTTGATCGTGGATTAAAATGCAAAAAGTTGAGGTAGTAGGTAATACTTACTGAGTGGCTCTGAAATATCTAAGTGTTTGTTGTGTTTTATCCTTTTTGGTACAGCTTTGTCTGTTAACTCATCCAGACTCTGAAATGTAGAATAAGTCATTCCTAAACTATGGAAGCTAAAGCTATTTCTGCGACTTAAAAAACAAATTTCGTATTGAATAATTATTGATGCACTAAAACAACAGTAGATTTGCTCAACGCTAGGGGCCCGGAATTTGACAAAAAATTTGAGTTTTCGAGTCTCAGGACTCAACCCCTTTCGACATGTTTTACAAAGATTCTGCGGAAACCCTTTCAACTTTTTAATGTAACAATCAAACTTAAATTACATATGGTTGATTTCATTTAGAGACCAGACAAACATTTAGGATTAACTTTTTGTGATAACGTTTTGTCTAATAGTTTTAAGCAAATGTAGCATTTTTTGAACACATGAGAATCACCAAAAAATTTTGTATTGTCAAAAAAGTGTGTGTCATTTGTACCAAATTTGATCACCGGTGGGACCGAAACGTATACAGGGTGGCCCATCCATGTGTGGACGGAATATTATTCATATTGTGAGAAAATCTATTTATGGGATGTTATACATAACATTTGAGGGCACATTTCTAAAATAATGGCCAGGCTGTCCCAATTTAGACCTACATAACAAAGTTGTGATTTTTCAAATGGAATGCCTCAAATTTTGATTGCACATTTTTTTTTAAAAACAATAGGTATATTACAAAAATAGAGTATTACAAAATGTAATAACATTCAATTCTCTAAACAGTGCTTCAAAAACACTGGCATCGAGAATAACAACATTCTAAATGTGCTTATTACTAATTACAATATTCAACAATATTTAACTACAAATATACTAAGTGACATATAAATCCGAACACCCAGTTTAAATGGTTTTATTTTAAAAAAAGTTGGTGAATGTATTTATCTTACTGTAAATAACAAGTAAAAACATTTTCAACCTTATCAGTTGGACATTCCGGTTTTTATACTGCTTTTTTTTAATTCACTAACGCTCTAAAAATGAATATTTCAGCCGCAGTAAAGAATCAACGTTGGCGGATTTTGGTTCTTGACATCCTTTACGATCGGTTACGATGCCTAGAGTACGGAGACCTGTACGATTTCGTCAACTTAGTGAGTTTGATAGGGGCCGTATAGTGGGACTTCGGGAAGCTGGACTTTCTTTTCGGGCAATTGCAGTTAGAGTGCAAAGAAGTGTAGACACTGTGGTTAGGTGTTGTCAGGCATGGCTTCGAGAAGGCCGTACGCAAATAGCAAGGGGCACTGGACGCCGCCGTAGAACAACAGACCGTGAAGATCGCCGCCTAAGATTATTGGCCTTAAGGAACCGTTTCTCCACTACCAGGTCCATTGCAAATGAATGGTTTGCAGAACACGGAAGACCTATTGGCATGCGAAAAGTTTTGGCTTGTTCTCATACCGGCCACACTGGGTCCTCCCTTTAACTCGAGAACACCGACGTAATCGCCTTGAGTGGTGCAGACAACGGTCACTCTGGGATCAAGAATGGAACAGTATTGTCTTTAGTGACGAGTCTCGATTTTGTTTAGGCATGCACGATGGTCGTGCCAGGGTTAGAAGGCGACGTGGTGAAAGGAGGAATCCACAGTTTTTTGTTAAAAGACATGTTCATCACACTGTTGGAGTTATGGTTTGGGGTGCTATAGCTTATGGTTCCAGGTCACCTTTAATCTTCATCAGAGGTAACATGAACGCGCAGCGTTATATCCACGAAGTTCTAGAACCCCATCTTTTACCCTATCTTGACACCCTGGCAGATCCAACTTTCCAACAAGATAATGCCCGACCACATGTTTCAAGAGTCACAATAGACTTCTTTCAAGATAATGATGTCACATTGTTACCATGGCCACCAAGATCTCCCGACTTATCCCCAATTGAGCACGTGTGGGATATGATGGGTAGGAGATTGCTCAATTTGCAACGTCCTCCTCAGACTGTAGAAGCACTTCGAGAGGAGTTGGTGGTTGCCTGGAATGAGATACCATAGGAGGACATTGACCACCTGATCAGAAGCATGCCTAGACGCGTTAGAGAATGCGTAGCACACCAGGGTGCATCCACACATTATTAAAGGTCAAAGGGCTTTAAAGCAGTGCAATCATTTTGAAATTTTTATCATTTACTTATTATGCTTCATTAAGTACTGATACAAAATTTTATTAAAATAAAACCATTTAAACTGGGATTTATATGTCACTTAGTATACAATGTATTATTTACTGCGAATATGATCTTTTAATTTCTTTACAAAACAGTTAAAGCTATTGTTACTGCTTTTTATGCTATTTGGCAATTTATTGTATGCATTTGATGCTTGCGATATGGGATTATTCAAACCTATGGCACTACTAACATTATACATGTAGATATACATATGTGGTCTAGTATTATATTTGTGTATGTCATTTGTAAATTGAATCTCGGTATTGCACTTTAGGGCTGTAGTAATTACTTTATGAATTTGTATGTTATATCAATCTTCTTCTTTTGAATTGGTTTATCCAAATATGCAATAAAATTTGAGACATTCCATTTAAAAACTTTGATATGTAAGTCAAAATTGGGACACCCTGTATAATATTTTAGAAATGTGTCCTTAAATGTCTTGTATAACATGCCATAAATAGATTCACCCAAAATGTATTTTTTTATGAGTAATATTCCGTCCACACATGGATGGGCCACCCTGTACAATAAAAAGGAATTTTAAACACATTTGGTTTGATTAGCCAGACAAACATGGAGGGTTATTGACAAGATGTGTTTAAGTCGAAATTCGTCTATTTTCAGTGTTATGAAAGGTGAAGATAATATTTGAACCAAGACCTGTGGTAACATCCATCTTGATGAGTGAGGTACTTTTGAAACAAGGGCGTACCCAGGGGGCGGCAAGGGGAGGTTGCTGCCCCCGTTTGCCCTAGCTCGGCAACAATTAAATGAATTTTTTACAAAAATTAAATTATTCTTGTTCGGAGTAATAAATCGTAATAAATATACGACGCTGAGTACTTTACGGAAGCAAGTTGCGTAGGTAAATAAAAAAATGGTATTTGGACAGTTTTTAAATTCAAAGTATTTGAATTTAATCAAATTCGTTTTCATTTTTTCCTGGATTTAGTCCGAAACAAAACTTTTCAAACAATGTCTACAAATTTCAAACGAATTACACAGCAACATTACCATTTTTTCTCTTTTATACGGTGGAATAATTAGAATCTCGATCTGACGTTTCAACTCAAAGTTTTTTAAAATATATTCCGTGTCTTCATAATTACCCTTAAATAATATAAATGAGTTACATTATGTTGTCCCTCATTCGATGAGTTTTAACCAACTCTAAGAAGCTAGGCACTTGAAGTTTTGACATCTAAGAACAACATGTTATCATCTTGGGTATTCCTAAGTGACATATAAATCTGAACACCCAGTTTAAATGGTTTTATTTTAATAAAATTTTGTATAAGTACTTAATGAAGCATAATAAGTAAATGATAAAAATTTCAAAATGATTGCACTGCTTTAAAGCCCTTTGACCTTTAATAATGTGTGGATGCACCCTGATGTGCTACGCATTCTCCAACGCGCCTAGGCATGCTTCTGATCAGGTGGTCAATGTCCTCCTGTGGTATCTCATTCCAGGCAACCACCAACTCCTCTCGAAGTGCTTCTAGAGACTGAGGAGGACGTTGCAAATTGAGCAATCTCCTACCCATCATATCCCACACGTGCTCAATTGGGGATAAGTCGGGAGATCTTGGTGGACATGGTAACAATGTGACATCATTATGTTGAAAGAAGTTTATTGTGACTCTTGCAACATGTGGTCGGGCATTATCTTGTTGGAAAGTTGGATCTGCCAGGGTGTCAAGATAGGGTAAAAGATGGGGTTCTAGAACTTCGTGGATATAACGCTGCGCGTTCATGTTACCTCTGATGAAGATTAAAGGTGACCTGGAACCATAAGCTATAGCACCCCAAACCATAACTCCAACAGTGTGATGAACATGTCTTTCAACATAAAACTGTGGATTCCTCCTTTCACCACGTCGCCTTCTAACCCTGGCACGACCATCGTGCATGCCTAAACAAAATCGAGACTCGTCACTAAAGACAATACTGTTCCATTCCTGATCCCAGAGTGACCGTTGTCTGCACCACTGAAGGCGATTACGTCGGTGTTCTCGAGTTAAAGGGAGGACCCAGTGTGGCCGGTATGAAAACAAGCCAAAACTTCTCATTCGTCGGTAAACACTTCGCATGCCAATAGGTCTTCCGTGTTCTGCAAACCATTCATTTGCAATGGAGCTGGTAGTGGAGAAACGGTCCCTTAAGGCCAATAATCTTAGGCGGCGATCTTCACGGTCTGTTGTTCTACGGCGGCGTTCAGTGCCCCTTGCTCTTTGCGTACGGCCTTCTCGAAGCCATGCCTGACAACACCTAGCCACAGTGTCTGCACTTCTGTGCACTCTAACTGCAATTGCCCGAAAAGAATGTCCAGCTTCCCGAAGTCCCACTATACGGCCCCTATCAAACTCACTAAGTTGACGAAATCGTACAGGTCTCCGTACTCTAGGCATCGTAACCGATCGTAAAGGATGTCAAGAACCAAAATCCGCCAACGTTGATTCTTTACTGCGGCTGAAATATTCATTTTTAGAGCGTTAGTGAATTAAAAAAAAGCAGTATAAAAACCGGAATGTCCAACTGATAAGGCTGAAAATTTTTTCACTTGTTATTTGCAGTAAGATAAATACATTCACCAACTTTTATTAAAATAAAACCATTTAAACTGGGTGTTCGGATTTATATGTCACTTAGTATAAATGACTATATGATAATTTCAAGGCTTACTCAAGAACACTTTTTTGAAATAATGTATGGACATGCTATAATATTTTAAATTAGAATTGTAAGCTATTCGCATAGCAGAAATGGCAGACATAAGAAAAATCAAAGTTGTGACGGGGTATAAGCAACCAAAAATCATATTAATGTTCTATTTATGCAACATTGCAGAGATCA